GGTAGACGTGGTGGTCGTAGTAGTGAGTGAGTTTAGTTTTACGCCGCACTCAGCAATATTCCAGCTATATGGCGGCGGTCTGTAAATAATCGAGTCTGGACCAGACAATCCAGAGATCAACAGCATGAGCATCGATATACGCAACTGGGAACCGATGACATATGTCAACCCAGTCAGCGAGTCTGACCACCCGATCCCGTTAGTCGCCTCTTACGACAAGCATGGGTTACTGAAGATCAGTTCTAACCCGGATCTTCACGGGTAGCAGTAGCAGAAGTGGAGGTAGTCGGTGGTGGTAGTAGTGGTTGTGGTGGTAGAACTAGTAGTATACATAGTAGTAATAGTTGTGGTAGCAGTAGTTGTGATGATAGTAGAACTAGTATTGGTAGTAGTAGGTGCTGCAGAAGACGAAGCAGTTGTCAAAATAAACGTTTCTGTAAAATGCACCAAGAGGAATAAAATAAACCGGGGTGTGGGATTTTCTTAATAAAATTAATTGGTCCAGAAATATACCATGCCAATATTGGTTGTCACCCCCTCCCCACCCAACCCCCACACACCACACACACACACACCCACCCACCCCTCTCCAATAAAAAAAATTGAAGGGGGTGACAACCATTATTGGAATGAGTATATGTTGTTCGAGGGTTCGCCCTGACATGCTTGTTGTCTTGGAAAACAACCGACTGCTGTTTTCACAGGAAATATGTTTTGATGCAGCAGCTACCGAAAAGATACCTTGTCCCCAAACAAAACCCATTCTTTGTTTTTAGCTCACTGCAAAATACAATTTTACGTAAAATTACTAATCTCCTTACATCGGCATCTGACAAGAGACACAGAGGGGTGTCTACTTATGGCGACGCGCTGTGAGGAGCTCGCGCAACCACCGCATGTTTCAACCAACGAAGATGCGTTCCTAATGGGATTATTGCCTGCACCTGGGATGTATGTTATCTGTGCGGGCTGTCATCTCAGTCTGGCTCGAAGCCGCTTCAAATGGAATTATCCTCGTCATAACCAGGTTACTTTGTAGTGTGGAAGGTCAAAGGTGTTTTGGAAAAAAGTTATCTAAAGTCATCCCAAACAATCCTCGTCTAGAACCAATCTCTTTTTAAATCCGGCTTGAGGTTTTTCATAATATTCACCGAATGTGCAGGTAGAGGAGTGATATACTGCTCAGGAGAAGTTAGGGACACCAGATTCTTTCATATTACTATTGTTTTGTTTGTTGGTTGTTTAACATAGTCATATGGCGTAAAAATCAAGCCTGGACCAGACAATCCAGTGATCAACAGCATGAGCATCGATCTACGCAATTGAGATACGATGATATGTGGCAACCAAGTCAACAAGCCAGGCCACCCGATCACGTTAGTCGCCTCTTACGACAAGCATGAGTTGCAGGGCCCCGTTCCTCAAAGCGATCGTAGCGCAAAGTTGATCGTAACTCACATACTTTAACATAGACTTACGACTGTTGTAGCGCTACGATCGCTTTGAGGAACGGGGCCCTGAAGACCAAATCTAAAATCTTCACGGGTAGTTAATCTATCATGGAATTGAGGAGGGAGACGGTTGTTTTCGTAAATTGAACAGTTAGTTCTGAAATTACTCAAATTAATAGTTTGTCCGCTGTGGTGGAAAATAGTAGATGCTTTTGTGGAAAATATCCAACCGTCAAAACTGTAGTGGTAATAGTAAATAAATGGCTTGATGGTCCTCAGTAAACATATAGTATGTTGGCTTCAGGGAAAAAAGATTGTTCTCCACACCACCCCACCCAACGCAATGAAACGAAATAAATACATGTACTTCCTTAATGAATGCGTAGGTCATATCATGTGCCTTTTCGCTGTGGTCAAATTACGTTTACTTTTGTAACATATGTTATATTTGGGATTACACTTTCTTTGTAAAGTACAGATTCTACTTTTGTTGGGTTGAGTCCCGTCCGGGATTCGAACCCACACCCTCAGAGTCAGGCACCTAATCGCCAGCACACAAAGTCAGACGCCTAGACCGCTCAGCCACCGCGGCTTCCACAAAATGGAAGTCGGACAACTGGTAGTCTAGACCGCGGACTTTGTGTACCCCTCTGATAAGTGTTAATTGGCACGGCTCCAACGGCCGAAAGCTATGAAATACACAGTGCCATTTAGAAAGTGGTCAAATGTAACATACGTTATATCTGGGATTAAAATTTCTTTGTAAAGTACAAGTAAACGGAGGGGAATCGGGAGGGGCACAGTTCAGTGAGGGGGTACACAGTTTTGTTTTCATTTTCACCCGTTTTCACGAGAGCTTCAATTGTCATTTAAGAAACTTTCAGCACAAAAAGGGGGGGGGGGGGACCCCGCAAAAAACCCACAAAAAACCTATGGGCGTCGTCTCACGTTCATTCCAACCAGGTGTATTGCTCGCTCAAACACGATTCATCGAAAGGAATCTTCCCTTGTGTAGGTGTGTACCATATCCTGCCGTGGAGTGAGTGAGTTAAACTGAACGTTGTTTGAGTAGTCCCACGACCCGGGGAGACCATGAGAGTGGAATCGAACCTCGGAGCAGAGCAAATGTGCAAACCATTGTGCTACTACATCGCTTCCAGATATTGCTTGTTTTGTTAACTGAACCTGTTAATGTACCACACTAATACTGACTGACTGAGTTTTGGTTTTACGCCGCTTTTAGCAATATTCCAGCAACATCACGGCGGGGGACACCAGAAATGGGCTTCACACATTGTACCCGTGTGGGGATTCGAACCCGGGTGTTCGGCGTGACGAGCCAACGCTTTAACCACTAGGCTACCCCACCGCCCCACCACACTAATAGGTTGAATCACCAGTTCTTTCACACTTTTAACCTGCCAAGATAAGGCTATTATAGCCTGTTTCGTTTGGTGTCTTGTTTAACGCCCCACTCAGCAATATTACAGCTATATGCGGCCATCTGTAAATAATCGAGTCTGGACCAGACAATCCAGTGATCAACAGCATTAGCATCGTTCTACGCATTGCATAGGATGACATGTGTTCAACCAAGACAACACGCCTGACCACCCGATCCCGTTAGTCGCCTCTTACGACAAGCAGGGTTTGGTGAAAACCAATTCTAACCCGTATCTTCAAGGGTGTATATAACCTGTAATGTCGTGGCCTAGTAAACAGAGTGTATGTTTGTCGAGCGGAAGATCGGGGTCTTCATCATACGAACAGACTTAAAAAGATGGTTCTTGTTGTTGCCCTGGCTAACGTTCCGTATTCACTGCACAAAGCAAGGATGTGACAGGATACTGTGTCTGAATGGGGTATCCATGGAAACATGGTATCCTTATGGGCGAGCAGTACAAAACAACCGACATTAGACCGCTATATTAGAAGCATCCACACAAAGAAACACGTGAATACACGCCGCCATATTAGTGAAATAATTTAAGCACGCCGTTAAAACCCATTTCGCATCCCCTCTACTAACGCCCACTATACCTTGAACAGTTGCTGCTACGTTAGCGTGTATTTCTGTATGAACACTGAAAACGAATGAGAAAAAGGGGACATTTATAATCTAACACACGCACGCCTAAACGTGATATATGCTCAAGCAAACGCTCAATTTTTTCTCCTGATTTGAAATTTGCGTGACGTTCGGTGTGAATGGGTCCTTTTATTCCCATTTAAATATGGTCGAAACACAAAGGGAGGTAACTCTCGCCACAAATTTCCAACGATGACAGATGATCAGTCTTTGTAGGCGTGAAGACTACGCCAGAGACCTTAATTTTTACAAGGAAAATGTCAATATCAATCGCTATAAACCTTAATTAGAAATGCATTGCGTAGCAGAGCTTTGATGATAATTCAATTGTGATGTATTGATGCCATATCTATTAACGTCGCCACCAACAGACTGAACCGATAATGGTTTCCACGGGACCGTGCCACAGAGGTGTGAATATCGAGGGGGTCGTATAAAAACGTTTCTGGGCTTTTAGAAAAATGAAACCCGTTTTATGAGTTTGAATTTGAATCGCCCTCAGCACGAGATAGGTTAGAGGGGTCGGCGATTCAATTGGTTTGGAAGCAGTGTTGGGTTCGTGGTTGAAACCAGGCGGATTGTCATTACGTCAGGGATGATTGATAAGGAGGGTGGGTGCGGTTGCAGCAGGATCGTTTGTATTGTTTACTGGGTGATTTGGAGGTATTTTTCAGGATTGTTTTAAATTTACGAGAACATTTGACAGATGATATTAGATGGAGAAATTGATTTGGGGTATTTTATTCGGTCTCATTATGGTCGTCATGGCTAGCTAAGACCAATTTTAAACGTTTTCTGAGAAAATTATTTCATCAAACATGCTAATCGGTTCATAATGTAACGCAAATTGTTGACATATTTCAAGGAAACGTTTTCTCGTACAAACACTTCCTGCAAACTTTATCAACAACTTTGGCTGAAGAATGACCCATATCACACCGAGGCGATTTGACGTAACTGTTTATTCGTTATCTACGACCTAAAAACTCGTACGTCCGGTCATAATCGACGCGTACTAGTATATCGAGCAAAGTTTCGTGGCTTGGGTGGTGGTGGTGTCGCGTCCCTGTGGTTCTCTAGCCTCGGGTTCGATTCCACGCATGGGTACAATACAGTTAAACACCGTTGTGTCGAATATTGATGTGCCTAACATATGCTTGTCTCTAAGTAAAAGCTTGGTTCCTTCTACACTATGCTTTCTTATTCATCATGGGCGGTGGGGTAGCCTAGTGGTTATTTTAAAGCGTTCGCTCGTCACGCCGAAGACCCGGATTCGATTTCCCACGTGGGTACAATGTGTGAAGCCCATTACTGGTCTCCCCCGCCGTGATATTGCTGGAATATTGCTAAAAGCGGCGTAAAACGCGTCATGTATTACCAAATCCTTTTCCGCACATGAATCCTAATGTCACAGGTAACCAGGGGAGATAACGCTCATTAAAACACGTATGCCTGGAGCACATGGCCAGAACTGAGTGTTGTGTCATGTATTGGATTGAATTCCGGAATGCTATAAGCTGTAACTGACAAAATGATCACAAAACGGAACTCACTCACTCACTTATACATCATATTCGGATGTGTCAAACCTTGGATCTCTCGGAGTTGGCACAGCCGTGTTTTACTGTGTGTGAATTCCTAGTGTCACCAGCCTTGGAGTTTCATGTCCGTCCCTGAAGTATAGTTATGCATAAGGTGAATATTTTTCACAGAAAGTGGGTTACTTTTCATATCCTTTCTAGCATAGTAACAACTACTCTATGCCAGTGGTGAAAACCACGTGATCTCGAACCCATGAACACTTGGGTTAGGACTGATCTTCTGCAACCATGCTTGTTGATAAGAGGCGAAGGACGAGATCGGGTGGCCAGGCTCTCTGTTTCAGTCGATGCATGTCATCGTATCTCAGTTTCGAAGGTCGATGATTTATCTACGCTGGATTACTGACAGACCGCCGTCAAATAGCTGAAATATTGCTTAAACACCAAACAAAGAAATCTTATATTGAAGAAGAATTCTACCAAGTGTATATATGATCCCTCTATACAATTAGACACAAAACTACGAACTTAACGAAGAAGCTGCAAAATACATTAGAACTCAATTACTAAAGAGTTTTCACAAAAACGATACAAGTTCAATTAATTTTGATAATATCACGAAGTAAAACATTCAGAAAATATCGAGCATTTCCGTCAGTATTATTGGCAGGAAGTTACTATATAAGTTCCTCCGTGTTTTGTTAGTGTATGGGTTATGTTTCTGAAACATATTACAGAGTGATAATGAAAACATAATGTACATAACACATCTCTGATACCTATACTGATGCTATAATTACAGATTACAGGAAGGATGTTCACCAGACAGAAACGAGTTACCTAGTGATAATCACTCCAGAGCTAGATATATTAGCGCAAGGTCTAAAAACAATTATTAATGTTATGTGAGTTCTTCCGATGAACACAGATTTACCATAAACGTTTACCTCAGCAGTACTGCTGCCTTGCCAGGTTGTTGTGTTATTTGTTTGGTTGTTGTTTATCGCCGCACTCAGCAGTTGTCCAGCTGTATGGCCACGGTCGGTAAGTAACTGAATCTGGATCAGACAATCCAGTGATTGACATCATAAACATAAAAAAAATGTATCCACTTAAAAAACGCATCTGCCATACGATTACAAACGTTATGAAAGCTTACTGGAAGGAGAACCACCGTGGAGACCCTGGCACACTACAATTTGTTGTAATGTCCACTATGGTTGGTTGGTTGGTTGGTTGTTTTGTTGTTTAACGCCGAACCCAGCAATATTACAGCTATATGGCGGCGGTCTGTAAATCATTTAGTCTGGACCAGACAATCCAGTGATCAACAACATGAGCATCGATCTATCCAATTGGGATACGATGACATGTGTCAACCAAGTCAGCGAGCCTGACCAACCCGATCCCGTTAGTCGACAAGCATGGGTTACTGAAGATCAATTTTAACCCGGATCTTCACGGGGGCACTGCAGTTGTATCTGGTTAATTATCTGGTTCTATCACTTTTTACGACAAGCATGGGTTGTTGAAGACGAATTCTAATCCGGGTCTGCAGGGGACAAGCACTGGTTGTTGAAGATCAATTCTAACCCGGATTGTTAGAGGAAGAAGCGCGGGTTGCTGAAGATCAATTCTAACCCGGATTTTCACAGGTTCTTGCTAGGTTGCTGGGCTTTGCTGTGAATGGTAAGTCCGTTTTATCACAGCTTGTCAATTTACTGATGTTGGAGAAAAATTCAAAGTGATGTACACCGCTTTGTTGCATATGTAACATTAATGCTAGTCTGAATTTGGTTTGAACGCCATTTGGAACGGTATTCTAATCATATATCGCTGTGTCAGCGTGATGTGGGAGGAAAACCGGAAGTGACGTAGGCCACCAACGTCTATCACTCACGTGACACCCACGAGCACGGGTATGGAGCAGACATACCTAGAAACATATCGGAGGGATCTGAAATTCCAGCAGTTATAGGCTAAGGTTCGAACAGTTATAGGTTAGGGATGCTAGTGAATACAAGAATCATTTTCACATCGGATCTGAGCAACTTACTCTATTCATTCTGAAGTGAGTGGGTTCACAGAGTGGTAGACTTGCACAAGTCTCTGAGGTAAAATGATAATTAATAACACACACACTGGGGTCCTGTTCGCTTATCTAGACTTACTTCTTCGAGGGATAGAATTACGATACATCCATGGGCTGAGCAATTCAGTTAGTACAGTCTTGGAGCTTGGCTAACAGAGCGGATGTAACCCTTTCTTGTGACAGAGAAGACAAAACTTGTAACACGTGTGAAGGTGTCCATAAAATTCTCACTCTCGCATTCGCTCTTCACTTGAGGGATGCAGTTAGGTGGCCTATTGGTTAAAGGTTTGGCTTGGCACATCGGAGACTACGGTCGATTGGCTACACTTGTTAAATATAATGGGTAAGCCTATTTCTCACTCACTCACTCACTCCACCCATCCCCAACCCATCCTCTCAGTGATTTACTGGTTCACCATTGCTCTCTCACCCTCAGCATTAGCCCTGACACAGGGCACGGGACACATTGGTACAGACACCAAATCAAGTTATCTCCCTTTGTATAGTTTTATCCTGCGAAATTCCATATGTTCCACGCCGACGTTAGACTGTAAGAGGCATTCGCTCGACACATAGGAAACTTAGGTTCTGTTCCAAAGATGTCCCTCGGCATGGTATTGATATGATAATTGCTAAAAGCGGCGTAAACCAATATTCAGGACATATAGAACTTCGGTCGATGCTGAGTTAATATGACTCAAAGACCCACTCATAATTGGGCGTTATTGTCTGTTCCCGTCGTTAACTTGATCATTATGCTGGTCAATAGAAAAAAAAAGACATATCACTTTTGAAATGTTCCCCGAGGTAGGTTCCATATACAAAATGACAGTGGAAAGCATTCAAGGCACACACGGGGCTTCAATTAAAAGATCTGCTGCAATGAATATTTTGTTGATGGATGAACGAAGAGACTACAGGGAGACACTTATTCAACAGCAGCTACCACCCGAGGTCCATTGAGAGCGCCTGCATTGAGAAACAGTCGTTAGGAGATTACGATCTCTTTATGTTTTATTTTGTTTTGATTTTATCTGCATCCAGCCGATTGATCTGCTTGTTGACGAGAAGGGTGACATTAGGCTTGTGTGCCGGAGCGATAGGCATGTCAGGGAGTTTTATGCAAGTGTTCTAGCCGATGCTTTGATGTAAGCTAACATATTTGCATACGCCCTTTTTGCAGATCTCCTCGACATCGGAATGGTTATGTTAAGGGCACTATAAGAGAACCCCGGTCATGAGATTAACGCTTATGCCATTATCGCAGACAGACCAGTATCGCCCCTCGAATATCATGACATGGCACCGGTTGGGATGGTTCGAATGGGGACCGCAGTGCTAAAACTTGTAAATGTTGTTGCTATGGCAACAATTTTGGTTATTTCGTATCTAGTTTTCACCAAAGTTCCGACAAGTTTCGGTAATATTCTGACACAGTTGTTTACGTGAAGGTCAAGATGTTAAAGCTTGGGTGGGCCCATATCCGTTCAGGAACATGCTCCTGAATATTCTCAAACATCAGGTGTCCTGTCACCTCCCAACTCACAGGGATGCCACATCCTGTCACCCACGGACCCACCACGGAGACGCTGTATAAAACCCTGCATCTATATACTACTCAAAAAAGCTAAGGATCTCACGATCGTTCATCTTACCACAGTGGCAAGACGGATTAACTGTCATGGTATGAAAGAATCGATGGTCCTTAACTTCTGTTGAGTAGCATATGGCGAATTGACACATTCTGTTACATGTATTGATGGTAAGCTTTCTGTAAATACCCTTGAATGTGTTGACTGTAAATACTCTTGTATGTGTTGACCTGAATAAAGTGATGCTGCCGCCCGGTTTGAGGTCCTGTAAATACCCTTGTATGTGTTGACCTGAACGAAGTGATGCTGCCGCGCGGTTTGACGTTCTGTAAATACCCTTGTATGTGTTGACCTGAATAAAGTGATGCTGCCGCCCGGTTTGAGGTCCTGTAAATGCCCTTGTATGTGTTGACCTGAATAAAGTGATGCTGTCACGCGGTTTGAGGTCCTGTAAATACCCTTGTATGTGTTGACCTGAATAAAGTGATGCTGCCGCCCGGTTTGAGGTCCTGTAAATGTCCTTGTATGTGTTGACCTTAATAAAGTGATGCTGTCACGCGGTTTGTGGTCCTGTCAATGCCCTTGTATGTGTTGACCTGAATAAAGTGATGCTGTCGCCCGGTTTGAGGTCCTGTAAATGCCCTTGTATGTGTTGACCTTAATAAAGTGATGCTGTCACGCGGTTTGAGGTCCTGTAAATGCCCTTGTATGTGTTGACCTGAATAAAGTGATGCTGTCGCGCGGTTTGTGGTCCTGTAAATGCCCTTGTATGTGTTGACCTGAATAAAGTGATGCTGTCGCCCGGTTTGTGGTCCTGTAAATGCCCTTGCATGTGTTGACCTGAATAAAGTGATGCTGTCACGCGGTTTGAGGTCCTGTAAATGCCCTTGTATGTGTTGACCTGAATAAAGTGATGCTGTCGCCCGGTTTGAGGTCCTGTAAATGCCCTTGTATGTGTTGACCTGAATAAAGTGATGCTGTCACGCGGTTTGTGGTTCTGTAAATGCCCTTGTATGTGTTGACCTTAATAAAGTGATGCTGTCGCGCAGTTTGAGGTCCTGTAAATGCCCTTGTATGTGTTGACCTGAATAAAGTGATGCTGTCACGCGGTTTGTGGTTCTGTAAATGCCCTTGTATATGTTGACCTTAATAAAGTGATGCTGTCACGCAGTTTGAGGTCCTGTAAATGCCCTTGTATGTGTTGACCTGAATAAAGTGATGCTGTCACGCGGTTTGAGGTCCTGTCAATGCCCTTGTATGTGTTGACCTGAATAAGGTGATGCTGTCACTCGGTTTCTGGTTCTGTCAATGCCCTTGAATGTGTTGACCTGAATGAAGAGATGCTGTCCGCAGGTTTGAGGTCCTGTAAATGCCCTTGTATGTGTTGACCTGAATGAGTTGAGTTGAGTTGAGTTGGGTTTTACGTCACATCGGCATTATTCCAGCCATATAGTGACGAGAACAAGTTTGCATTAATAAACATTGTAAGTACGTACTCGGAATGAGTTTTATTTCAAAGGATATATTCATTACATTGTCATTTAAAAACCGAAAAAGTCATAGCACCAAATTTAAACGCAGGCAATTCGTTAGTCACATTACACAGTTATAATTTATGATACAGATCAACTTCCCTCAGGTAGTTCACTATCAGATGAGCGCTCAAGCGGGAGAACAGATCTTTCAGATTTGTTGCATCATAATGTGAGTCCGTTGCAGACGACAAGTCCACACAGTCAAGCAGAATATGCTTGATGGTGAAAACCTCATCGCAAGAGACACACATGGGGGGTCCATCCCCATCCGTCTTCAGCAGATAGTCATGTGTAAACCGACTGTGGCCAATACGACATCGTCGTAAAATTACCTCATCGCGTCTTGACTGACAACCCAAGTAGGTATAACCAATTGTTGGCTTCAATTCATACAGTTTATTTCTTCCTACTTGAGTGTCCCACCTTTTTTGCATGAGGTCCCATGTATAGCTTTTGATAGTGGGTTTGAAATCACTGTATGGGATCAGCAGTGGAGATAAGGGCTTGTCAAAAGCTGCTTTAGCTGCAGCATCGGCTTTTGTGTTACCTGCTATGCCAACGTGACCTGGCAGCCAGCAGAGGACAATGTCACATTGGCCAGTAGACAGGTCGTTGTAAAGTTCTAAAATGTCCAGAATGATTGGGTGACTTGAAGTTATATTTTGAAGTGCTTGAAGGCAAGATAATGAATCTGTAAAAACCATGAAGCTTTTGGAGTGATTCTGCTGTTTAATGTAGATCAATGCTAAGAAGATAGCTTTGGCCTCGGCAGTAAAAATGGAACTGTTGTCGGGAATCCTAGAGGAGACAGTCGTGGATCCAATGACTGTAGCACTGGCACCTTGGCCCTCATCCTTGGATCCGTCTGTGAAAATGGATCTATGGGTGTCATACTTGGAACGTAACTGGTTGTATTCCTGCTGGAACACCAAAGGACTTGTTTCGGACTTTTCGGGTTTAGTGAGGGTAAGATCGACCTGTGGTTTCACCATCTGCCAGGGTGGTGAAGACAGGAGTCGGTAAGGTGCTATGATATTGAGATCAATTTTAGCTGCAGATATGTGTGGTTGAATTCTGATTCCAAGTAGTGGAACCAGGCTTGGCAGTTTGGGAAACAGGTTTTCATAGAGAGGGTTGAAAACACAATTGTATGCTGGATTGGACTGATTTGAACGTAATTTAGTGATATATTGCAGTGAAAGTTTACTGCGGCGTTGTTCAAGGGAAGGTTCGTTAGCCTCAGCATATAGACTGTCTACCGGAGAGGTCCTAAAAGCTCCCAGGCAGAGCCTCAGGCCTTGGTGGTGGATAGAATCTAATCTTTCTAAATTGCTTTTGCAGGCTCCACCATAAACAATGGAGCCGTAGTCTAGTTTAGAGCGAACCAAAGATCTGTACAAGTGAAGGAGGATAGTCTGATCCCCTCCCCACTCTGTATTTGAAACGACTTTTAGTAAATCCAGAGTCTCAAGCACTTGGTTTTCAAATATTTTATGTGTGGTAAGAATGTCAGGTGACGGTCGAATATGAGTCCCAGGAATTTGGCCTCTTCTACTACCTTGATGGGAGTACCATCTAAAGATAGGTCTGGATCCTTGTGTGGTTTGTATTTACGACAAAAGTGAATACAATTTGTTTTGGATTTTGAAAACTTAAAGCCATTTTCATTGGCCCATTTTTGGATTTTGTTAAGGCAGAGTTGTAGCTGCCTTTCTATTGCGTGCAAGTTCTTACCACGACATGAAATATTGAAATCGTCCATGAAAAGGGACCCATCAACACAACTGTTCAAGACATTAGTGAGGCTGTTAATTTTGATGCTAAAAAGGGTGACAGACAGGATGCTGCCTTCAGGGACGCCCTGATCTTGGTGGAAATAATCAGACAATGTGGAACCTACCCGTACTTGAAATTGTCTGTTGTTTAAAAGCTGAGATATGAACTGAGATAATCTGCCCCTCAATCCAAATTCATGTAAATCTTTTAAGATACCATGTTGACCTGAATGAAGCGATGCCGGTCGCAGGGTTTGAGATCCTGCAGATGCACTTTTGTGTGTTAGCCTGGATCACTCACTCACTAACTCGCAATAATATTGATCTGAACTTCCAGGAAATTGAGTTTAAAAAGAAACGCTACCTCAGAAGAATATCTCCTCCATCTCAGAGAGGAATGGGTTTACTGAATGTAAAAGCCTCGACCCTGACAATTAGGGTAGCACACAAGCCCTACATATGATTTAACCGCTTGGGGAAATCATTGCATGGTTGTGGTAAGCTCGCCACTGGCACAGTCATACTGTCATTGCCGTTTGTCGTACGCCCTGCATGCTGTGGTCGCTTGTCGTCGCCGATTTTTTTGACAATTAACATTGGGTTATGCTTTATATATATTTCCTAAAAAAAATACTCCAACGACGGCTGCGAAATATTCCTAACTTGCTGGTTTTCCTTCTGTTGCCTGGTCTCCCCCTTCTCCAGGAACTTCCAAACCTGTCCTACCATCTAAAATATGTAGGTCGTGCTAAGACACTGTATTGATGCAAGCGTATCTCGGTCATCCAAAAGGTTAGATACACATATCCAAATGATTATTAATGAATGTGTCCGCATGTTATCGTCTGCCCGTAAATCTTGAAGCAGACGACAACTGACTACAAGGTCAAAGCTGCAGGCGTTTTGTCTCGTCTGCTGCACGGGGAGGCGCGGGAAATAGCTCGTGCAAGAGGTCACAACAGGACGTCCGCAACTATCTCAAGTTCTGCAACGGTAATCTTGAGGTCAAACACCCCACGACGATGAAATCCATCATATTTTACAAGGTAGTATTCAAGACCGGATGGTCTGACGCTGAAAGAAGTGCACCACATCTAGAAATACAAAGGACTACGTTGTCTAAAAGATGGTACATACATATAAAGCTGTATGATAGCTGTAGGATTCGCCCGGGCTGCCGGTGACCGGTCTTTTCAGTTGCGACCCTTAGAAGTGACAGGATCCGCTGATGCCATATTAAGATCCTTGGTCGCCAACAATTTCACAATCACCCATTTCCCATGCTGAAAGCTGCGGTATGCTTAACTCATTCTCACTGCAACATGCAGCTATGACATACATACTACACCATCTGTTTGTGACATAATTCCAACTGGATACACAGTTCTGGAACGTTGACATGAAACATGCACATATACAGGTGGCGTGTAACGTCATTTTTTTAGAATTTTTTTTTTAATTAACCAGATACTACTGCAGTGCCCCTGTGAAGATCCGGGTTGGAATTGATCTTCAGTAACCCATGGGAGGCGACTAACTGGATCGGGTGGTCAGGCGCGCCGACTGGGTTGACACATGATCGATGTTTATGATGTTGAGCACTAGATTGTCTGGTCCGGATTCGATTATTTACAGACTTCCGCCATATAGCTGGAATATTGCTGAGTGCGGCGTAAAACTAAACTCACTCACTGCAGTGCTCAAATCAGTCATGATACGTCTAATGACATTTCTCACGACATCATGACACCGTCCAGGGCTCCGCTCTGGGCACAGTTCACCACACTATCCACACGGCTCCTCATGACACCATGGTGATGGTGTAGCCTAGTGGTTTAAGCATTCGCCGACCCGGGTTCCATTCCCCACATGGGTAGAAAGTGTAAAGTCCACGTGTGGTGTTCCCCGCCAGTCAGTCAGTCAGTCATATGCAGTGGTTGGCTTTGTTGGAAATGTGACTGCGCTGACTCTCATTCTTGACACCGTTCTTGTAACCACTCAAACAGCTCTACATTTCATGAATGTTATTTGACACTAGATTGTTTTTGGTTCAATTAAATGCATAATATATTTCTCGGCGATGGACTACTGGAGACACTCTTTTTCTGATTTTGATTCTAATGTACTAACAATAATTCAAAATCTAGATTGTTTTTGGTTCAATAAAGTGTGTGTGTGTGTGTGTGTATATATATATATATATATATATATATATATATATATATATGGAGGGTATGTCATACTCTGTGGGGAGAGGCAATGGGATCAGTCTCCTGTAGTCCAGCATATTGTATACAGGAGACTGATCCCCCACACACACACACACACACACACAATGTATGACGCACCCTCCCACGCCGAAGCGTTGCAGAATAGAACGTGTGCACACATCACCACAAGCTGACGCACTGGAGCTATTCCTGTTAGATCAAACTTGAGGAATTGATCCTACCAGGTACAAAGATGACACGTCACAGATGATGAATATGTCTGCCAACCTTTGCCTCACGCACGTAAAGCGCTCGTGCAGACTACGACCTCTGAAAATCGACATCTCAACGATTTAATGTTTCCTTATTTACAGTCCCGTAAAGGTCGATGCCCTTTAAGATTTGAAAACTAAATCGTTGAGTTGAAATTAGTGTACAATAGTTATTTTGAAATTCGAGAATGTCAGATTTTGAAATGTCAGCGAATCGTGTTCAAATTGAATCAGGGATTTCGAGAACAGTACATGAGCGGTAAAGGTGGAAGAAACAACCCGTGTACGGATTCGAACCATGGACCCAACCATCCGTGTTGGTCACAGGGTATGAACGCATTTAACTTAAACAGGAAAACAACGGAAGAAAATCGAAATGGGCATAAGTTAACACTATTTTTCATTTGTTTAGAGAAACAGGTTATTTCGTTCTATTAAAAAGATTTAAAACAATATCGGAGGTAAATAAAGCGACAAAATCATATTCATAATAAGTATAATATCTTTGCTAAAAGCAGCGTCGGTTGTATTATTCTCGCTTCATCGCGTGTTTATAAATCACTATGCATTGATGGGGATTGTCAGGTGTTCGCGAACAGGTGAGTGTATCGTGTTGTTGCTATGACAATAATGTAAGCTTCGTCTGGAATATTTAATCAGATCTTGCGAGGAACGATCGAGGACAACCTTCAAGGTCCCACCTGGCCCCCAATATCACCTGACAGAAACGACTGGGGGACATGTGAGTTAGCCAGTGACTGAGCATGGTTTTACACTGCTTTTAGCAATATTCCAGCAATATCACGGCGGGGGACACCAGAAATGGGCTTCACACATTGTACCCATGTGGGGAATCGAACCCGGGCCTTCGGAGTGACGAGCGAACGCTTTAACCACTAGGCTATCCCGCCCCTGGGGACATGTGAAATGCATGAGTTGGATGAAACGCCGCTGTATACATTATCCCAGTTGTGTCATGTCAGCTTAATGTGGAAAGAAAGTGATGCATGTCTTAGACGTTAACGGGGCGGTGGGGTAGCCTAGTAGTTAAAGCTTTCGCTCGTCACGCCGAAGATCCGGGTTCGATTCCCCACATGGGCATAAAGTATGAAGCCCACTGCTAGTGTCCCCTACTGTGATATTGCTGGAATATTGCTAAAAGCGGTGTAAAACGAAACTCACTCACTCACTTAGGCGTTAACCACATTTGTGAAACCCACAAACACGGACATAAGTGCTGACAAACGTGGAAACGTAATCGATGTGAATCGAGATTCGAGCCCACGATCATAGGTTCCTAGCATGCCCAAGGGACGCAACTCTGCAAACGATTGGGTCACCATACTCCTGAGTACATTCAGAATACAATACTAACACTACTTTAAGATAAAATATCGAAAAATGTTTCAGCCTTCGAAACCAATAAATGTTATTTCGAAAGGTTAATACACTCACAGTTTGTTTTACCTAATTTGGAGAAAAAAAACCCGACATCTGAACACAAACAAACCCGTTTTGGGGTCGCATGGTCATTGCCCGTGAAATCTTCACCGGAAGCCAAAACAAAGTACACACGAAGTGCTTACGCCATTCACTGTCTCTTCTCACGCTCCGCACGCGCCGCGCCTGTTTTCTAAAGCTTGTCAGCGCCGTCATTTTCCAGGAGATTTATTCGCAAAACATAAACAAAATCAGTCTTCGCACATCCATCCTGTCTGAGGACTGGATGACAGACTTTGTAACTCATCGTAGGGTTGTAACACATCGGCAATGAAAGCCGTGCAGTGTTGAGAGCTTGCAGTTGTTGCTGTTCGCCAGCTGAAGGAAGCCCTTGTAGATTCTACGCTAATGAAGTTTAACGCAATTATAATTGTATTTCCATGTGTGTTGAGAAGGATGCAGATCTCGGACAAGCCTGCGCCTATTTCGATGTTTGTGCTTTATTTTTCTATGAAATCTATTTACTTCATCGTAAGTTCGGGGGCACTGGTAGCCAAGTTGTCTAAGATTGTGCAGAGTTGCGTCCCTTGGTAAATCAGACACCTATGATGGAGGCTTCGAATCCCGGTCCTTCTGATTAGGTTTCCATGTTACTCAGCTCCATGCCCAATCCCGTGGGTTTCACCAAAGCAGAAAACATCTGAAACCATTTGGTGATTTCTTCCGGTGAAATAAGGCGAAATAAGTGGAATAGTGTTAAAAGTGACGTACACCCAACTCACTCACTCATCCAAAAGTCAAAAGAAGCAATTTCATTTCATCAAATACAGACAATGGCGGTCATGACATGACAGTGCTTCTGACAAACAAGGTTCGGTGCTCACGCTATCGACCACTGAATTCTGTGTAGACTACCCAATCGGGACATATGCTACTTAAAAGAAGTTAAGGACCTGGTTCATCCAATTTCTATGGTGAATAGGTCATGCAATGACACATCAAGCACAGTGAACTACGTTTAAAACGAACACGCTTATGACGAACGAGGGGCGGTGGGGTAGCCTAATGGTTAAACCGTTGGCTCGTCACACCGAAGACCCGGGTTCGAATCCCCACATGGGTACAATGTGTGAAGCCCGTTTCTGGTGTCCTCCGCCGTGATATTGCTGGAATATTGCTAAAAGCGGCGTAAAACCAAACTCAGTCAGTCAGTCATTTCTACACAGTAGTGTATATAAAGGGGAAAAAACTGCAATTCGACCTTTCAACCCATCAATGAAAGTGTTCAGGTGACTTAGCCACCACAGGCTACCCGAACATGAATATGGTGTTGATGTCAAATCTTGGATTCGAACCCATGGCAACTTCTTCATCACCCAGAAATCTGCTGAACATCCACTGCAAAAAAGTTTTCGTTTTCAACAGCGATTCAGAAAATAAGTGAGAAATACTTGCAAAGAAACGCTTGCAAACTATAAGGTAATATATTAAGTTAAATATTGTAATTGTTCGCGGCGCAAGGAACCAAAATATTCAGACCCAAATTTAAACTATCAAAACAGTTCCCGTCTTTCCTCTGTCACTGATGGCGACATCCATGGCGGCAGCATGCGAGGAAAATTCCACGAACACATATTCTGCATTAATTGTGACATGCTGACGTAATACAACAAAACACACCAGGTTAGTAGGTTATGCGTCATTTATGGTCGGGGCCAATGTGCGTTGGAACTCTGCCCTCAAAATGGACAGAGAGTAGCAAGCTTTGACATCAGTATCAACACAACAATACCTGGGGTCGAGCGACGAGTCTGTATTTTGTTTAAGTCTGGACATAGTCTCTTCGATGCCATTGGAAGCGCTGCAACAATGTACACTTGATGGCAAAAACACACAGGTTTATTTTGATAAGCGTACAGGCAATTATTTTAGTCGCGGGTTAAATAAATATGATAATTTGATTGTCGGGAGAAATGTCATCGTCACGATTTCAGCCAGGGTTTAATTGAATTAATGTTGTAATAAATTTGCTAATTCGGTATTTGTGAACTTGTAGTTGTTAAATTAAGTTCACGATGCAGCGTAATTTAGGTGAATGTTAGAGGATCCGTATGTAATAGTTGAAATGGGTTACATATATAGTCCGTTTGCAGTGAAAACGTACCGATGAATTTCACTTTAAACAAAAAAGTAAATCAAATAAAGTGAAATTAAGATTTCGAATCCTCATAAGTTTACCTTGCCAATTGAACATTAAAATCTCAGAATATATATTTTATTCAACTTAGGATAAAAGTTGTTTAACAAAGGATCATAGTTTCAAATCGCTATTATTTGTTTGTATTACAAGGGGGTATGCACA